TTCAACTCCCTTCCATGTATAGAAGACACTACTCAAAACAATCTCCACTTTTACAATCTGTCTTATATTTTCTGCTAAGCCATTCATCTTCTTTTGGAAGCCATTTAACTAAGTGCATCTTGTAGTAAGTCTAGCTGGTCTTTGACTTTATGAAAAACACTTTAATTATGTACCATTTTGATTTGCTTAATTAACTTGCTGCCTATAATGCTTCTTTTTTAATGGTTCTATTACAATTTCCATCTATACATTCCTATCTGTAAATAGTCCTCATTCCAATTTCAAAGTATTTTCTTCTCTGCTATTTAGCTGCACTCTATGTTTATGTAAACATCATACTTGTACTTTGTGTTTTTCTTTTATAATTCATTAACCTCCACCTTTATTTTCTTTCTTTCTGTCTGTCTGATTTTGTTTCGTTTATTTTTCCTCCTTCTAACATGTTTAGTTGGATACTAACCTTCTTCTGAGCACTGTTATAATTTTATCACAGAGTTCATGATGCATAGAAATTTCTCTAAAGAGACTCTTCATGCTATCCTTAATTTCATTTGATTGTTTTCTTTGAACCAAAGTACTGATGGCCATGTCAGAGGAGCAGCAGGAGGCACTTAAATTCAGGAGATTGGCCCACCAGAACATAAGGTACTGATGGGTGAAATTCGGTTAGGTCCTGAGGGCTTTGGCTCCAGAATTCTCTTATTACTGTTGTGCCTTTACATGACTGCTGCTGCCATTTTTCTCTGGTATCTGGCATGGTGAATGGGTGTGGGGTGGGGGAGTTCCCACCACCTTTAATGTAGTGTGATTATCTCATGGAAATATCCCGTGCTACTGGGCATTCTTACCTGTGGATTATTATGAAGATGATTTCCTCTTAAGCTGTTCTATTCAAAGTATTGCCCCTACCCCTGATAAAGAGCAGGCTGTAGAGGATAGAAAATAGGACCAAGGAAGTGTCACACAGCTAGGACTTTTGAGTTTCTCTTGAGGAGCCATATAGACTGTGGCTTGGGTTAATGATTAAGGAAAACAACTGAGCCTCAGAAACTAGACTAGCTCAAGTTCTTTTAACATTGGGAGATGTGTTCACAGGTGCCAGAGTGCATCATAGGTAAAACAAAGCTTTAAATAATGACTTAAGGTTAGGTTAAGACGTTTTTTGTTAATGGCTTTTAGGTAGAAAATATTAGGGAACAATTTAAAGTTTAGAAAGGCACACTTTTAGTAGTTGAGTGAGGGACTCATTGAGGTCAGGGAACAAAAACAATGACAGTCTGGCTGTTGCTGGTTGGCATACCTTTCTTGTTAGGATGGGTTGGCGATCAAAGGTGATGAGTAATTCCTTGTACCCATTTCTGTCCTCAGCTTCCTGATATAAAACACTGTTGATGAGTGGGTGGGTGTGCACCCTGAGGATTTAAAGTAGAGCTGACTGATTGTTTTTCATATATACAAGTTTAGATTTGTGATTATTTTAAGATTTTTATAAGATTACTTTTTGAGATAAATAATAAAGTGATTGATCCTTTCCTTGTACCTGCAAAATGCAGCCTGCCAGCAAAAGAACTGACTGAGAAATACCTTGCTTGCTCGCACTTTGTTAACCTACAACAAATTGCTTGACATGAATACGTGTGTGTTCTTGTAAATATTTTGCTTTTCACCTGTAATACACAAAATGTTTATCATGTGGGAAAAATGGGAAACATGCTTTTTTTTTTTTACTTGTATTCATTGCAATCATTCACTTAAAAAATAGAGTGTAACCACATCATAATTTTTCTACTGCTTGAAAGATTCTGCTGGGGTATATAATAAGCTGTAAGTGAAGAAATAAAGACACAGAGGGATACATCTGGAAAACAAAGAACAGACAGATGATAGAAAGACCCTAAAGGTGTGTGTGTGTGTGTGTGTGTGTGTGTGTGTTCCCTTTTTTGTTGGCCCCAGAGAGTTAAGTTTTACTCCCTCAGATAGAAAAGTCAAATTGAGTGATTAGTTCCCAATTCCATGGCTCCCCCTCAATTCCTCACAGCACGCCAAAAATTGAGGTCTTTTTTTTTTTTTTTTCCCAGTGCCAGTGTCTAAAGCCAGGATATTGAACATGCCAGGACAGTGTTCTACCATTGAGCAACATCCCAGCCCTATATATTCATTTTTTATTGGTATCAGTCAGTTTTGCTTGCTGGCTTTTGTTTGTTTGTTGTCAGGGAGAGGTCCCCTACAGAGCCCAGACTGGCCAAAAACTCGCCTGCCACAGTGCCTCAAGTCCTGAGATTACAGACATATGCTTACACTACCTGATGTTTGGCTGTGATTTCATGACAGTGTTTTCCACATTAATTCTATTCTTTGGGCTTGGCTGCAGTTTTTCTTTGTAGATTAAGGCACAATCAGGTGTTTTTACATGTTTTTTACAGTTCAGATTAGTTTGACTTTTTCATTGGAAACATGAAGATACATAGTCAATTATTAGTTCACTATGTTGTAGTGAGAATCAGTAACGGGTTGTTTTCATTGAATAAGTCAAAAGTGTTTTAGCAGTTTAGGAACCATAAATTTTTCTTCTTGAGTAAAATTGCAGTAGCTGGTAGTGGGCAAAGAATCGATTTTCTGCATTCTAATCTTAGTAACCTAGCCAGGCCAATAAAGAAATTTCAGATGTCTAAAGACTTGGGGAGCCTGAGAGTTTTGCTGATGGCATGGTGACAGGCTGTCTCCAGTTATCACTAAGTGTCCTTTGTTTCATGCCACCTGCCTTCTCAGAACTTCTGTGTAAACTGTCAGATTACCAAAATGATATGCTAAGATCTCTACCTTATGTTTACATAATTCCTGCCACTGATGCTTGTCCTTTATCTCTAACTTTCCCTATAGTTTTTGATCAATGTTGCTAAGTTATTTGCTCTCAGCTGCTCCCAACTATTCATCATTCATTACAGGTACAACTTTTGACATTAGAATATGTGTCTGTTAGTAAGAATTTTTTTCTTTTTTTCCTGTTTGAGAGCCAGGATCTCATTATGCACATCAGGCTGGCTTTGCACTGGTGCCAACCCTCCTGCCTCAGCTTTCAAGTGCTCAGATTACAAGACTGAGCCACTATGCCTGGCTTGTTATTAAAATTTTGATCTTTACTTTTTCTCTGAGTTTTTAATGGTAATTCTTAATTTAATTTTTATGTTCAGCCTTTCTGAATAGTTTTTTTTTCTTCCATACAACATTGAGTTATGATTCTACATTGTAAGTGGTTATTTTTTTTTTTCTTTTGGTTTTTTGAGACAGGGTTTCTCTGTGGCTTTGGAGGCTGTCCTGGAAATAGCTCTTGTAGACCAGGCTGGTCTCAAACTCACAGAGATCCACCTACCTCTGCCTCCCGAGCGCTGGGATTAAAGGCATGTGCCTCCACCACCCAGCAGTAAGTTATTTTTAATGTTGTTGTGTTCTGTATGACATATGCTTGTATGTGCATGTTTATGCTGAAGTCAGAGGAAGATGTCAGGTGCTGTCTCTTACTCTTTTCTGCCTATTCCCCTGAGACGCAGTCTCTTACTGAACCCAAAGCTCACCTGTTCAGGTAGGTTGGCTACCCAGGGAACTCTGCTTGGTCTCTACTCTCCAGTGCTTAGGTCATATGTATGTCTGGCTATCAAGAGAGTCCTGGGGATTCAAACTAAGGTACTCAAGCTTGCTCAACAAGTACTCTTAGTCACTTTGGCATCTCCTCTGAAATTACCTTTCCCTTCATAGTTGAGTTTATCCGGGTTGTTTTGAATTGTTACTTTTGGGTGTAAGTTTTGCTATCTTTTGTTAGACTTCCAGCTCTTAGACTTAGGGGAAAAATAAGTATTTCGTGAGGAGTTTCTTGTTTTTTTTTTAATCACGAAGATTTGTGGTTTTCTTCTCATAGTTTTATTTATGGAATACCAACAGTATAATAGCCTGTTATGTATTTATTTAGCCAGCACCTTAGTATCTGTGATTCACTTTTGTAAATATCAGGATTAGTGTATCTCCATCTCCCAACTTTATCAATTCTAGTCTTTCTTGGTGTTTGCATCTGTGCTAATAAGTACCCATATACCTCTACTTCTTTGCCATCACTGCAGAAGGTCTCTTGATTGAAGTCTTCTCTCACTAACCTACCATTCTCAGTGCATTCTTTCTTCATAAAGTCACTTGCATTATTATATTATTTCCTATATTTCCATTAGACAACAGCTCACAAAGGAAAATTTTTCTCCGGTGGAGTCTGAGTATACAAGCCACACTCAAGGGCAGGCCCCATACCCTGAAGGAGATGGCTAACTCAAAATGTACTCAATGGTACTTTGAGAATAATTTTACTCATTTTTTTTGTCTAGGCATTTTCCCCCCTTACTGGCCTTTTGCTTATATATTTTGGTTTCTAATTCTGTGTTTTTATGGGGTTTCTGTGTGTGCACGTGCTTAATCTCTGCATGTTATGTGCTTTTTTTTTTCCCCCTGTTTTATTGTCTCTTTCTCCCCATTTGTTTTCTAAAGATTGAGAGAAAGAGGCATGGAGTTGGATGGGTGGGAAGGATCTGGGAGATGGAAATTAATCAAAATATACTGTATAAAAATTTTTTTCAGCAAAGAGAATTTACAGTTACTAACATACAACTCATTTTAAACTTAAAAGGTAAACCTCAGAGTTGTGTGGTATACTCTAATGGGCTTCAATGATCAGGATGTAATACACAAAGTGACAAATGTTTCCTGTAACTGTGCAATGTTCTGTATCTGGATGCCTCCTAGTAACAAATATATTTGTGACTGCAAGTCTGACATACATGACAACAAGGCTGGATGAGGTAACAAACTGACAAGTCTGTATTTAAAACAAAAGCAGCAAGACCATTTTAGTGAAAACTACTTTTATTTTAAAATCAAGTGCATAGCACTCATCTAGTCCTGCTGTGTAGACTTAGCACCATACTCGCTGTGTGTAGTTAGTCATAGCACAGATATTTTGGTTTGTAGTTTGTACTTGAATAGTGTTTATTTAAGGGACTCTGGTTAAGTCCTTTTTACACATTATTAACCTTTTCACAGTACACATTTAATGATGGTCCAGTAATCTCAAAACAAAACAAACCTTTTAAGACTAATTAATAAATTAAACAAAACAAAACCCACACAGTACCCCCAACCCCAAGCTAACTGATGTTGAGTTACATCTATACTGAATTCCAATGTTGTTAAAATAGTCATGATTCCCCAGCCTCCCACCTGGGTATGCAGCAATATTCAACTATTGGACTCTACCCCACCCCCAAAAGGATCAATCCAGTGTGTTCTTTAGCTTTTTAAATATAAACTGGAAAAAGTGTTAATAAGCTTTTTAAAAAGGCAAATATTCTTCGACAACAAGAATGACACAGAACCAATCAATAAAAGCATTTGACAAGACATTAAATTACCACAGGCACTGGCTGTTGTTTCAAGTTAGGATTTCTATCCCAATAGCTTACATTCATAGCATTACTGAGGTAGTTACAATACTGAAAACTGGATTCCACGTTGCTGGGTGCTGTGAATGTGAAAGACACATAATCATCTTTTGAACCTACTTTCTCCTAATAATTCAAGTTTTCTTAAGGTAAGAATTGTAAAATCCAATTAGCAGCCTTTTTAAAGAGGAAAAGTGAAAGCACAGTTTTTGTGCTTGAAAACTGGACTGAGTGTTCTTACCTGAGTGGCCTTTCATCACCAGACTACTAAGTCCACACTTTGAGTTCTGCATTCTAAATACCAAAGTTAGCTTCCTTTTAAGGAAGGGACATTTCTCTAAGAATTCCTGTTGGCAGAAGCTACCACCTGCACTCCCCCACTGGAGCCGCCTCATTCAGTCGTCTATTATGCTGTGGAGCCCTTCCCTTCCCAGTGAAGGCCACTGGGTGATTACTGCGACTCCTGCTGCATACCCACATCTTTAATAGTGAGTTCTCAACACCACTGAGCCACGGCTTCCCTTCTGGTCAAGTGCTACCTTATAAAAACATAGATACACCTTACTAATTTTAAACCACAAAGTTTCCCTCCACCAAATCTTTCTTCTTCCACAGATAAGAGCACAATGTGTACAGCTCATCAGTTGTTCTTTTACTTTTTAAGTTTATCTGCCCCCCCCACCCAATATTTTATGGCCAGGTTGCCCTTACTATAATGACTATTATTGCTGTTTTCACTCGCTACCAATAAATTGTCCCAGGGCAGTTGCTCAGCCATTATAATGAAAATGGCCCCTGAAATTTTATAATCAGTGCCCCTGCTTGTTTAGCCTGACTTGCTGGATTTCAAGGTTGCTTACAGAACTACCTTCCCTATAACAAAGTGCTGCATTAGCCCAACCTGAGTACTACCCTGGCCACCATCAACTCCAAAATAATCCTACCAGACTCTACTCTAGCACTTATACTATACAGTATGCCTTCTCCTGAAAACTGCTTTAAGGAGTGACAACAAATCTGGAGATAAACCACTGATTGCACTGGGCGACGCACAACCTGTCCACGCAGGAGCACCACAGGACCCACTCCATTCATCCTGTGCTAAGCCAGATTCTCAGCCCAGCAGGAGCACTGTAGCCTAGGTTACACAGGTAGTTCACACTCTAACACTCCAAGGCATGTTGGTTACAGCTAAGTGTTTCCAAGTACTACAAGTTCCCTGAGTTAAGTGTGCTTAATCCTGAAGAATCAGGGCTGATCACTTATGGGGAAAAGCTAGCAGAGTAAAACAAAAATTATGATCATGATTTCAAGATATGTATCTGCTTCACCTCTAATTTAGTATATAAATCCAGACACGAATATTATTTATGATAGGAAGTTATATAAAATCATCTGTGTTTTTTTTTTTAACTGCACAGATTAGTATACTTAGCAACTGGTAAATTTGAACTCAGAAACCCACCAGTAGGTCAGAAAGACTCTGAGCTGAAAGATTAAAATAATTCTTCAAAAATAATACTGTTAACTTTCCTTCATAAAAGATGGTTTGGCAAGTCCACAGATAAACATTTTAAGTCTTTGATGTATGTGCCAGCATAAGACCCAAAGGCCACCACAGCTCAAATCTCAGAATGGCAAATATTCGGCTATGTTGAGCATTTTGAAATATCTGGACCATCCACCAAGGCTGGAACATTTCTGTCACAGGGATTGACACACATTAGTATCTGCCGCGTCCTCCTAGATATTCAAGGTACTGGAAGGGATACTCAGTCTCCCGGCGCTGGTGCCTGCTGCTGAGGAACACAAAAAGCTTGCCCCAGAGCTATCCATTTCACAACAGTCTGGGTCAGTTTTGACCTACGATATGCTCATCATCACCTCTCAAAGCACGGAGTAATACACGGGAAATGTTCATTTATCTGGTAACTCCGGTTATAAGAAACACTGAGACAGGGTTTAACTTCCACTGGTATTGCCAGGGACATCCCAACACCAGTCTGCATGTGGCCAAGGCCCTGAACACCAGTTTGGAAGCCCGTAGGACAAGTCTGAAGAGTATAAGATGAGGGGTGTGTGGTAGCCACGAGCTGCTGACGGCTTGGCTGTTCTGACACAGGATGTCGATACTGCATCGAGGTCTGATGAAGATACTGGGGTTGCTGGAAGTGAACTGGTCGTGAGGGCTGAGCTGTCTGGAACACACCTAGCTGTGCGGATTGAGAAGCTGACTGTCCCCTCTGTTTGTTCGCTTCTTTAACATCATTATCATGAGCACTGAGACAAAAGACAAAGGAAACAATAACATAACCTGGCAAGAACGCTGTAGAGTCCCACCTCCCACCTCTGCCATAGCTTGTTTCATGAACTGCCACTATTAGTACATAAACAGCAGTCACTCTACCATCACTCAAACAACAATGACAACTTCCTTATATCTTTCTCAAGGGATTAATCTTTGTATAAACATTGCTGGAAGCTTTGAGGATTCTTTCCAACTTGGAATTTGTGGTCACATCCTGGTGACCCTTAAAATTCAGTGGTTCAGACATGGGAACAGGGTAAGATCTGCCTGGACCAATGTCAGTGCTATGGGCCTGCAAAAATACAAGAACAACTCCCTTTCCCGTCAGTTACTTAGCAGTAAATTTACCTGGCTCACTGGCTGCAAAGCACTATTTATTCACAGCAGCGAGCAACGGAAAAGTACCCTGAGAGCCTTGAGCCTTTCAGAAGTAGTTTCTAGGGTACATTATACACATAGGACAATGTTAACTAGAAATTATAAATGCAAGAGCAAAAAAGCTTACACTAATAGTCGTTCAATACACTGCACTAAGAAATCCCAGGAGTAAGCAGTAAGACGATGCAGTCTCGTAGGCCATGTTGGAGAAAGACGAAGGATAATCCTCGAAGAAGCCACACATGCAGCAGCTACTAAAGAAGGTGCATAATTTAGAAAGGCATAATCTGTGGAGACACCAAAAATGAACTTAAGCAACAGAATACATGAGTCACCAGTGCACAGCCACACGAGGGTATTCTCAGGAACTCACCTTGCAGAGATACTTCCAGGAAGTAATCTGCGTATTTGGCCATGTAGAGTTTAGTCTTTTCCAAGCAAACCATTGGCCAGCCGTCATGAAGATCTGTCTCATGTACTGCTTCAGAGAGATAATACTCAATGAAATGGGCAGCTGTGGGAAGGCAGAGGTTCCACTGAAAGGTCTCTAATAGTAACAGTTCCATATGCAGCAAATTCTGTTTTGTTAGCACGAGATTCATATTAGTCATACAGCCCAGGCTGTTGAGCTGCTCCAGCTTAGGCACACTGTCTTCTTTCTCTTCAAATTTACCTTGTAAAAAAGGGAGGGGTAGAGAGAATGTTAGAAAAGTGATCTTTGGAGGTCTTGCCAGTTAAATGGGACCTGCTGTCTTGCTAGCAGGATTCAGATTTATGGACATTGTCTCCTCTATCTCATACAGATGTACCTATATCAGAACCATGTTTGCATGTTGTCTTTCCTAATACTTCCCCACCCTTGACCTTTAGCCATTCTCTGAAGAAAATGTGCATGGATTTAAATAGTGTCCTGTGGCATATAGGAAATAGTCATATATGCTAATGAAGAAGTAACTACCCACTTCCCCCCCAGAAAGTGTCCTTTTTGTGGGCAGAAAATTATTTTAGAGCATCAAGAATTTAACATCAGAACTTTATCTGGTTAAGTGCTCCACATTGAGCTACACCCTTCCCCCGAGTAATTTTTAGCTTTTTCTGAAAACTAGTCAGCATCAAGTATTTATTCTTGGCAAATTTCCAGCATAATCATGGCAGAGAGGAAGGAAGTTTGGAGGGAAAACTGAGTAAATGACTTTAATCCCAGCACTGCTATTTCAAAAACAAACACACAAATAACAAATCTACCTCTACCTCTCCTCTTCTGTAAGGTTATCTTCCAAGAGTAGGGCTAAGTGTGGAGCATGCAGCATGACTGTAATCACTTAAGAGGCTGTAGCAGGATACTAGGTGTGAGGCTACATAAAGGCCCTACAGTGAGAGCCTGCCAAAAAGCTCAAAAGCTGGTCCACTGAGGCGGCTCAGTAGGTGACACTGCTTGCAGTGCAACCCCCAGAACCCACAAGGGTGGACGCAAAGATCAAAATTCACAAAGCTGTCCTCCAACCCCATGCAGTACGCACACCCAAGTATGAGTTTCCCTTCCCTCCATTTTTAAAGCAAAGTGGGTGCTGAGGAAGAGGGGAAGTCTCATCTTCTTTTAAAGGAATAAAGATGCCACAGCAGAAGGTCATTATTTGAAGGATCAACTTCTGAGAAAATATTCATGCAATGCTCCAACTACTCACTGAGGAATGAGATTTTCTTTCCACCTAAGAAAACTGTTTCTGCAGATTATGAAGCAACTTACACTTAAATTTCCAAACAAGCATTACTACACATAAAGCATGCATTTAGGTACTTCTATAACCCATGCCTGACTCTGGGACATGGTAGTCCACAGAAGAACAGAGATTAGGGCTAAAGCACTTGACCTCTTATGTTCTACCTTACACTTAAGTTTAAAAGTTACAATTACAGATTTCTCACAAGGGAATTTACATTAGTTCTTCAAAACTATTGTTAAAGTTATTTTTCAAAAGCATACACATAAACACAAATATTATATACTGTTTTAGTATTCTGATATTGAGTTCTATATTATCTGTTTTCATTGGAAACCTTTTAACTTTATTCTATCCATTTATAAACAATTTATTGGGGAAAGTTAAGAAAGACTGGCAAACTAATGTTCTCTGCTTGAAGAAGTGGATTTGTAACACTGGCTAATGCTGCTACCATGGATGGAACAGGCCACGGCCAATCAGCTGCCCAGTGTGCAGCAGTGGGTACCAGTGGGGCTTTGCTCACTCTGGCTCATCTTGGGGCAGGAAAAAGTATTGCTGCCTACCTAGGAGTTAGCTTAGGAAACAGAACTGGGATATAAGGGTTTGTCCTTGATGCCAGGAGACTGTAAACTCCTATCTTGAGAAAACTTTAGTGGCTACTTCTGCTCTAGACAGACTGTGAAGTTCTTTAAAACTAAACCACTTGTTGAGGTATTGGATCTTGTGTAAGCTTTATACGTGTTAGGCAACTGCTATACAACTGAACTACACTATTAACCCTTTCAATTTTAATTTCAAAACACTGTTTTAAGTTGCCTAGACTGGCCTTAGACTTGACATCCTCCTGGCTCAGTCTCCTCAGTATCTGGAATTAGAGACATACCCTGTCCCCAGCTCAAAACTACTCTTTAAATATTACTACAGAGAAGAGCAAAACTTACATAATTCAGATTTAAGAATCTAGATAGCCTTTCCCATTCAATTCATGTAAGAATGGCATTTTACAGCACCACAATGGTCTTCATGACAGTGATCGGAATCACCACTGAAGAGGAAAGGTAGTCACTGTTCTCAGAGCAATAACAAGAGGTTCTGTAGAAGGAAAATGATGCAGGCAATTGCTCAGTCCCTCCAGATGAAATCATCAAGGCTTTCAAGCACCTTGCCATTTGTGTAGCAGCAGTACTGGTTGCATAGTTCAAAGGAATGTTATAAAAATTAATGAGTTTATTTATATCATGCTTTAAGTTCCTTTGAAGAAATTAATATACCATAATTCACTGTAATTCAAGGATCAAGGGTGTTTCATATTCTCCCCTTGAAACTTTCATCATTAAAAAATAAAATTGTTTATAGTCAATCTCACAGCTCAAGAAACCAAGATGTTCTATAAGGTCAGCCAGTTCACCCAAGGTCAAATAAGCCCACTGAAACCAAAAGTGCAAGCCAAAAGGAAGATTTTTATATTCTTAAATCTGCATTTCTAAACCAAAACATCATGCTAGATTATATGTGGACAGCTATCAGGATGAGACTTCTGCATCTGTGTTTATAAGTATCTAGTTATTAAAGAAATGTCAAGGAGTTTATATGCTGATTTTCAAAGTTAAAAATAAATTGCACAGGGTTGGAGAGAGAGTTCAGCCATTAAGAGCACTGCCTCTTCCAGAGGCCCCGGGCTCAATTCCCAGCACCCACATGGCAATTCACAACTGTCTATAACTCCAGTTCCAAGGGATATGACACTCTCACACAAACATGCATGCAGGAAAAACATCAATGCATATAAAATAAAATAAATCATTTAAAAATAAAATAAATTGCATGCCAGGCATGGTGGTAAAGGCCTTTAATCCCAGCAGCTAGGAAACAGAGCAGGTGGATAACTGTGCATTTATGGCTAGTGTGGTCTACACAGGAAGTTTCAGGACAGCCAGCTACATAGTAAGACCCTGTCTAAAAAAAAAAACAAGCAACATGTTGCATCAATAACCAAATCTGGGATTCTAATTCAGTCTTAAGTTTTTGGGAACTTTATAGTGATATATACTCAACTACATGGACAAGAATTTCAGAAAGTGTGAAAACATCAATGAGTTACATGCATTCACATCTATCATTATTGTGTTAACTGCTATATATAGTTTGAATCTAACTTGTTCATACATGTAGATCACAAAGATCAGGGTTTTGTTTTCACTTGAAAGGAAATACCAGAAGCCATATGATTATATTGATAAAGGACCCAAACAGGAAATGAGGATAAAGGAAATTCATATCTGCTTCCCAGAAAAAAAAAAAGAATTAGAGGCCGGAAACAAAATACCAGGTCGTCTTTCCCTTACAGGAAATGTACAGATCAGCCATGGAAACCACACATTTTCAAACACAACAGAGAAGACTGGTATAGTGAGTAGGGTAGATGGTGCCATTCTATTCTTTCATTACCAAATAGAAAAGTCATCTATACTACATACAAAGAATCCTCACAAATTACTAAGACCACCAACTAAACATGAGCATATATCAGAAGCCTCATCTCCCAGACTGCTTCCAAACTGCCCATAAGCTCAATGCTGTTCAAACAAGCTGAAGCAAGCCAGGACATATAAGAAGTTATTTTCCTGGACAAACAGATCTACTTAAAAAAAGCCATACTCCTTAGGAGTAAGAAGCCAGGATAGATTTCAGAACAGCATACTAAGGAAATTGGTCAGTACAATGCTCAACTTTTTATGCTGCAATTTTCCCATCTTGCCCTACTTGCTCCTTACAATTTTATAAGCCAAGTGTCTTTGTTTCCATTTTGTAGAGAATTAACCTGGGACCCATAGGGTTATTGAAATTTATACTGTTAGCAATTCAACTCTAAGAAAGCCTATCACTACATTCTTGACTCCTAAATACTACAAAGTGCTTTCAAATCAGATAATGTGCAGGCCCTTGCTTCCACCCAGTTAGGTAGATAATCATTAGCTCCAAGAACATATAAACTGGGATCTGTCTTTAGACAAATTATACAGAGCATCCAATTATTTAACAAAAGTGGACTCCACCAGCAGTGTTGGCGAACATCTTTACTCACAGCACTTGGGAGGCAGAGGCAGGTGAGTCTCTGAGTTTGAGGCCAGCCTGGTCTACAGAGGCAGCTCCAGGACAGCCAGGGCTACACAGAGAAACCCTGTCTCTAAACAAACAAACAAACAGAGAGAGAGAGAAAGAGAGAGACAGAGAGACTGAGAGAGACAGAGGGAAAAAGAAAGAATATAGGAAATGCTCGATTCCATGAACTTGTAACATGTCAGACACTGAAAATAGACTATGGGTGTATAGCATCCTAAGCTTTTCTGACACGGTATTAGAGATTGAGGATAGACTGTCACTAAATTCTAGACTCCAGTTCTGATTCAGTAACTGCTCCAACTCTTCCCTATCACTTACTCAGGAGGGCTGAGGCCTTGATGTGTGCAGTGAACACACCCCCTCTACCTTGGAAAAGGAAGGAGGTAAAAGCAAGTCTCTCTCAGGAAAATGGGGGTCAAAGATGACAGGAGAACAAAGGGAGGAGGTATCTGATCTTCCAGCAGCAGGTGACTGCAGTGCTCTGAGCGATAATGCTCCCATAGGCTCCTGTGTTTGAATGATTGGTCCCCAGGTAGCGGAACTGTGGCCTTGTTGGAGGAGGTTTGTCACTGAAGGTGGGCTTTGAGGTTTCAGAAGCCCCCGCCATTCAGACTGGTTCTCTCTCTGTCTCATCATTGTTGTCCAACATGTTAAGTTCTCAGCTACTGCTCCAGCTCCAGCACCATGCCTGCCTGCCTGTCTATTGCCATGTTTCCTGCCATGATGGTCATGATTCTACTACTCGCTGGAAGGGTGAGCCCCATTAGATGACTGTAAGTTACTTTAGTCCTGGTGCTTTGACATGGTAGTAGAGAAGTAACTAAGACAGTCATAAGCAATACATATCTGTTCCGGACCGATGTCTTCAGGACTGTGGACGGAGCCAGCCGTACAGTCCCGGGTCTGTTTCTGAGTGGAGGTGTGTGGACTAGGGAAGTCTAATTACCCAATGATGCTAATGATGAGGCAGGAAACACCATATCATCTCAGGAGGGCTCCCATCTGACGCCGAGCAGCCCCAGTTTAATGAGGGGTCCATTTAAATAGTCCTCTAAGGGCAGGGGTAACATCAGGAAGTATCTTTCACAATGCATATCGCTAACTCAAGTGATTCTGTTGCCTAAACAACTCTTGGTCAAGCAGGCAGAGTCTTGAGCCCAGGAATGGGCCTACTCAAGGCTTAAGGTACAGAGATGCAAATTAGGAGGCATATCACCTTTAGGCCACCGTTACAGCCTGGTGTTAACTAACAATACAATGGTGACTTTGGGGGGGGGTGCTCCCTGGCGCCACCACTGTTTATGTCAGCCAGTGCCTGGATCCCAGAATATTCCATAACAGGGATATTCAGTCCCCCACACATATCCAAACTATAGCAAATAGGAATACTATACCTTTGTAAGAACAAAACACCTGGATGACCCTGACCCCGCCCCCTAACAACGGGGCACTCACTCACGCGCCATGCATTGCAACCTGTTAGGTGCGCATATGCAACCTTTCCTTTAAAAGGTCCTGCCACCCATCCCTCGCTCTCTTCCTTTCAGCTCCTCTTGGGTTGGCTGACTACCCATCCCCCTCTCTCCCCTTTTCTGGAAAATAAACTCCACGTGGGTTGTTTATCCGTTGTTCCTTTCTTTATATTAGCAGCTGCAGCTTAAACAAAAGAATAACAATCTTGTTACTAGAAAATAAGCTTTAAAAATTACACTGTCACACTAATAACACCAAATAATCTTCCATAGAATAAAAGGGTCACACCCATGCATTGCAGTATGTAATTTAAATACAAGAACTGAGAACTCCACTTCAACCATTCTAAGACACTACAAAAAAACAAGTCCCCTTCCTCTGCTAGGGAGACAGGAAAGTGTAGGAACTTAGCACCACGATGGCAAGCACTATATGGTAATCAAACTTTTCCTCCTGCAGACAGGGTCTTGCCATGTTGCCTGAATGTAGATTCTAACATATCTTGTTTAAAATTCTTAGTAACCAACTAGATTTCGAAGTGGACTTGTAATGCCATTAATGTAAGTATTCGTAGCTAGTTTGGTAAGTTACTAGTAAGCAAACCTTAGTTACAATGTAAGTTATTTTATGAAACTGTACTAATATCATTATTTACAATCCATCAAGCTTAGCTTCCTATTTGGTTCAGAATTCTCTAAGAACCATAGAGAACCAGCTGAGACCGGGCAATGGCTGAGTTGACAATAGCAGTCACAGTAGGCCATAAAACTATTTTTCATTAATGATCTAAAAAATTTAAAATAGCATTGCTTTTATGTCTGATGCCAGTGTGTGTCTCTATTATGAGCTAATTCTATAACCTAACATTCTACGGGATAAAAACAAACAAACTTACTTGTTGACTTAAATACATCTGGCCTGTCAAGTATGGGTTTTTCCAATCTTACATAGACACACTCTAAAGGGCTTCATAGCCAGTGATAAAATGCATAAAACTTAAAAATTTAATTAAATTATAAATGTCTAAGTATTACTTCTCTGGCTTCAGGATGGGGAGGCAGAACAACGTGACTAGATCTTAGAGGAAACCAGATTTTAAAGGGAACTAAGGTATTCAGGAAGTAAACAGCATTCTGCTAAGAATTTGTCTCAGGAGGCATATGATAAGAACAGACCAGCATTTGAATCTATAAGGGCTCTAAATGCTACATTAATCAGTTCTAATCCTAACACACAGGCAATGGGAAGCATCATTATAGTTGGGTTTTATTTACATCTGGTTTCACAAAAGATCTGAAATAATTTTAAAAGTCATTCAATTAGAAGTCTTGGAGTAAGAAAATAAAATTTAAGAGGCTCAGATCTGCATTGAGTTTTACAGGTTTATTAGTATCTAAGGAAAAAGTTGTTTTGGAAAGATCACTAGCTCCATAGCCTAATGGTCAGCCATATTGGATGCCAACCTTAAAGTGAGATCAAGGTTGACAATAACAACTATACACTACTTTGAAATAAGGCTTGATGATATGGGTAATATAAAAACAATACCAAAAACAATTATCAATTCAACTTCATATCAAATGAGATTTTACATTGTTGAATGAAGAAAAACTCAATTTTAATTCTTTTACATGCCCTCTCTTCAGTGCAGACATAGCAAACAAGACGAATTTCAGGACAGAGAGCTAGCAGCACCTTCTGTATGGGTAATAAGTAAGAATCTACTGGCTTTTTTGAGCCCATTCCCTATGGAGGGATCCCTTGGTCAGCCTAGGTACAGGGGGGAGGGCTCTGGTCCAGCCTCAAGTGATTGTGACAGCCTTTGTTGGTTCCCCATGGGAGGCCTCACTCTCTCTGGGGAGTGGATGGGGGGTGGGATGGGGAGAAGGTGGGGAGAGTGGGAGGATCGGAGAGGGAGATGGGATTGGTGTGTAAAATAAGATTGTTTGAAAAAATAATAAGAGTCTATCAGATTACATACTGAAGCCACTTTGTATCAATTGCAAAGAAACCCGACTGAGTTCATTAAACCTATACCAGGAAGCCAAGACAAAGTGTGCAGCACAGCACCTTTAGGACAGAGTTTCTCAACTCCAGCTACACTGATGTTTTGAGGCAGAGAATCTTTGTTCCAGGGACTTGTTCTTTGAACTGCAGGGTGTTTAGCAACATTCAAACCATCTATACATTAGATACTGTAGGTTGTCAGTCACTGATCAAGAACAACAGCTCTCAATCAAAACAGTATGTCAACATTACCTTTGGGATTTTTAAAGTGTTAAAAAATAAAGACACCCAGACCCTAGTATTCAGATTCTGCCACAGTGTATTAGTTAGTTCTCTCACTGCTGTGCCCAACTATCTGACCAGAAGTAAGCTACAGGAGAAGGATTTCCTTTGGCTCACAGTCCATAGGCAGACAGTCTGTCATGGTGGGGATGGCACAGTGGCAGCAGTGGCTCTCTCTGAGAAGCAGAGACAGGGAATGAAAGGGAGCAGATGGCTTTCTCCTTTCCCCCTTTTTATTTAGTCCACGCCCCAGACCATGGGATGGTGCTCCCTGCATTTGAGGTAGGTCTTTCCTCAGTTAAACCTCTCTGAAAACTCCACATAAATATGCATAGAAGTGTATTTCCTAGGTGATTCAAAACCTAGGTAAGCGGACAATGAAGATTAACCAGTAGATCTGTGGTGTTTAGAATTTGTATTTGTATCAATCTTCAGGATGTAGGGCTTGGGCATATGCCTTCTAAAAAATGTCAGAATTATTTTTTAATATCTAACTAACAACCACAGTATATACTTCCTAAAAGCAATAAACTGAAATGACTGGGACTTGAAAACAATTCACTGAGTTCTCTATAGTTTTATCATATAAGCAATGTAGGTTTTGAGTCATGTAGATCAGATTCATACTCACTTGCTAGAAGCAAACAGGAAAGTGCAACTAAATGCAGCTGCTGAATAGAGATGTCATAGCGATCCATGAACAGGTCCAGCAAATAGACAGCAAGATGTCGGGCAGAAGGGCAGAGTGTGAAGCGATTGCTCACTATGGCAATCAAATCAGCAAAATATCGCCTGAGACTCAGTTGAGGGGACTGGCCCTTGTAAGAAGGCAACTTCAGCTCCTAAATCAAAAGGAAGAATATGTTATCTACAGAAATATCTTTATAATGCAGACTTAACATTGTTTTACTAACATATCATGTTTTAAGAGCTTAAAGACTCTCTGCTTGAAAGGAATGTAAAAATAAAAGTTGAGTGGGAAGAGGCTGTATAGCTTTAAGAAAAACAAAATGCAAAGCCAACCACACTCCAAATAGACCCTTCCTCCAAGGCAGAGAGAGAGCAGACCTGAGTATGCTCCTGGAACTGTGCAGACAATACACTTTATATATAGAGACTAGGACTTATCCATCAATATCCTTCAACCTTACTTCCCTTCTATCAGGATCTTTACTTTGCTACCTTTAGAATACATAAAACTTTTTTAGTAATCAGTATCCACTCTCAGGACAATATTAACAATTTGTGAACAAGAGATTCTGGGGCGGGGAATGTAGGTTAGTGGTAAAGCATAGTCTTATCATGTGCTAAATCCTGGGTTCAGTTCTCAGCAACTTGGAACACCACACACACACACACACACACACACACACACACACACACACACACACACCCCAGTTCAGCTTTAAAAGGGAAATTATGATATATGGCAGGATGAACCTTAATATGCTAAGTCACACAAATGGACAATTAGTATATTAACATGATTCCATTTACACCAAGTATTTGGTCACAGTCACAGAGGCAGAGTACAGTAGTGGTTATCAGGGTCAGGTGATAGACAACTGGAAGAGTACAGAGTTTTAGTTTAGAAAGAAGAAACTTAAAATTTATAGCCCCAGGGATAAACAGTGGAAATTGTCTTAAGTCTCTCCATAGCAGGTGAATTAAAATGCAGAGACCATTACAATATTCTGTTGATATCCTACGATATTGAGAACACCAAAGAAGACCTAGCTTGGCCCACGGGATAAGTAGTTGTAGAAAAAAAGAGGCCTGAATATTACCTTGAAAGACTAGGAATCACATTATTTTTAACTGTTAATTTTACCAACATTAGTAAAAACAGCCTGAACCTCAGGGCCATCAACACAAGATTTTATTTTTATTCCTTGTTATTACTGTAAGAGCATGTGGTATGTGTGGGTAGGCACACACACCGTGTTGGACACATGGAGATGAGAGGACAGCCTTGTGGAGTTGGTTCTCTCCTTCCACCTTTATGTAGACTACAGATAAAACTCAAATCACAAGTACCTGTTGAGCTATCCCATAATATCTCACATAACCTGTTGAGCTACCTCACCAGCCCCAGAGACTTTAAGTAATAGGTCCAATGAAATTCACTTGTCTTTTTCAGTGGGAAAGTACTGACCAGATGACTGTCAAAGCCAATTCTCTTTGCACAGGCACTACAGCTATGCAGACATAGAAAAGAGAGTACACTTTCCTCAGCCACAAGTTTCTTCTGCTATCTTTTTAAAGTCCCTTAGAATGGAACACTCTTGTTCTGGTTTGTTTCTCAAGAAATTGAAACAATGAAAACACAGGGAAGCCAAATCCACAACCTCACCAACTAACCACTTCAAATGCCATTCCCTATCCAGAAAGAGTTAACTCCCTAGCCAGGATGAAAATAAGGGCCTACAGGAAACTCTCAAGTATTAACTACAACTCCTTGGGACCCACATTTTCTTAATGTTTCTCACAAAACTACAATCATTTGCATTTGTCTTTCTCGAGCCTCAAATACCTTCCAAGGAGTCACAACCCAGGAGCAGAATGACAGAAGACAAGCACTTAAGGGAGCAGATCCTTGTGAAGTCTTTCTGAGTGGGAAACTATATTTACAAAAATAGTACAGTTCACTGCATTTCACTTTTCCCCAGTAAATACAATGCTAGTCACACCAACTGTTTCTTTAAAATTTGGTGGGTCTAAGCAAGACCATCTTTTACAGATAATGAGAGGCAACTGACCCGGGGTAGAGTTACATTACAAAGATGCCTTTGACTTATAAAACAGATTGTCAGTCTCTGTGGGCAAAGACCATGACTGTGGCACTAAGTCACTGTTCTAACACCTTGCATACACTAAGTACTAAACACGTGGCACAAATGATTAAATCACTGATTAATAGCTGATATTGGCATTTTCAATGAGAAAAGTTTAACTTGACTCCAGTGCATTACAAACAGTGATCTCTCCAGTTGCAAAGTTCCAGCCCTACCATAAAACGTTACCGTTACCTGAAAGCAGGGCCATGGTCTGAGTTTAAAGACAACATGAAGCAGTGCTGAGTAGTTTGCAACAGGTGACCTGAGGCAGGCTCGAGAAGAAATCCTTCACATCCACCTGACTACAGGTCTGTCTTATTCCATAGCCCTTCAGAGACAACACAAAAGCACGAAACAAATCCTAATTTTGAAAAATAAAGTTCTACTTCTAAGATCACCTGTAAAGCTAAATCAGACAATTACTCAGGATTAAAACTACCTACACATAAAATATTAGAACTAAAAGTCATGGAGATCACCATGGGGGGAAAAAGTCTTTACACTCTTTACACTTACACACACTCACACAGAGTATCATTTATGCCAACTAACTAGTTTGCTACATACTAGAGAGATAAAAAGACTGACACTAAGAAGATCCATACATCTCTCCCAAAAATCTAAAGTGAGTTGAGACAACTCCCCCCCCCCAAACATTCCAAAGAATCACCCCATAGTGGGAACATTTATGTAGAGCAATCTCATAAGGGGCTGGGATGTATTCGGGGTAAGAGACTCAATGTCAGGATTAGGAAAGAGCATTAGGAGCATCCAGCTTTGTGGGAAAAGGGTGCAAGTTTAACAATATATGCCAGGGCTGAATGTTCCAGTCTACTTAGACAAGATACAAATCAATTATCCTGGGACCCCGTAAGCCTCAAGCTACATGAGCTTCTTATTTAAGAGTCAGCTGTTTTGATTCTTAGTTTTCTATACTTAAGGTGGATCTTTAGATCCAAGGTGAAACTGAGTTAAATTAGAGATCTTTCTAGATCTCTCCTCGGGCTGTCTGAGAAGCAGGACTATCCCATAAATCTGCCTTACGACACTCAAAGTGAAATCATTACTTATGCAACAATACACAGACTTCGGTTCAAAAAGAGTGTATTTTTTTCAGTGTTTATTAAGTCTACCTCATCCACTTTCTACACGCGATATTTCAAAGCAGCAGCTCCTTCCTTCCACCTTAAGGCTTTTCAAACAGCCTCAAATCTGAAGGACCAAGTAACAGTAAGTCAGCACACAGCCCTTACTATAGGCTGGGCACCATTCTAAGTCCTTGTACATCAGATTTCACAATCACCCCATGAGAAACGCTCCATCGTCGTTATTGCTCCTCTTACAGATGAGGAAACAGAGAAACGAACGGAAGGCTCACTCACAACCAGTTTGAGGGAAGGCCGGGGAACTGAGTTATGCACAACTGTGGCTTAACAACAGCTGCGTGCAGCAGCAAGCAGCAGCAAGGACGGCTGTTGGCTCGATACAAATTAAGCACGTATATAAAATCCGCGATCCACTTGGCAATACTGGACCGTCGCTTTCCACATTCCTTCTCCCGACTCCCACGCCCCACTCCCATCCACATTTACAGGTTCTTCTGATGCAGCCCCGGGAAGGAAAAAGTTAATTAGCTTTGACAAATCAGCAAACTCGCCTTCTCTGCCCTGGAAAGTCAAGACCCTAACTGGCCTCGCCAGGAAGCCCAGGAGCCGGGAGGGGAAGCTGGGGCCTCGGGATTACCTTGTACCGAAGCGCCTGGTGAATGTCCGCAGCCAGTTG